TAATACATCGCACAGCGTATACATACGCACTTACACAAGCTTACACAGAAGAGCCGTTGCCGCTATTGGCTACACTATCCCCTCCCTCGCCGTTCTCAAGAACGCGTTGTACAAAAATACCATACTTCATCTCAGAATTTCTACTAAACGAATCATCAAAATTTTCTGATTTTTTTTTTTAATACAATTGTAATAAGTTAATTTAGCATGTGTCAGTTTTTTGAAAATATCTATAGAACCGTTTTTCCTTAAATTACTGAAATCCATCATTTTACTGGCCTTTTCTCGTTTTCACATGGTAAAGTTCCGAATTCGATAATTTATTGCTACTCTCCCAATCATCAGATCTCTCTAAGATTTTACACATATATTTGTCATGCTCTATTGAATACTCATGCAAAATTTCAAAACATTCTATAGAAAATGGATTTTGGGACTAACGTCCTTAACTCACCTCGAGTTCTACAAACTTCGACCATGTGGTCGACGCGAGGGATCAGTTCTTCGATCAACAACAGGCGAGCGTTCTTGGTGAACCAGTCCCACTGTACTTCGTCGTTCTTCATCTAAAGGCAAACGTTGATTCGTCAGCAATTGACGTCACGTGAATTTTTACCAATCGAAATTATTTGGCGATGGTTCACTCACGGTCTTGGTCGATACCAGGATGCACTTCATGTAACACATCAGTCTCTCGTCCTTCGGGAAATCGCCGACGAATTGGCCGTCCAACAGTTCTGTACAAAGACGTGTTTACGACGGAGTAGAAAAATATCGTGAAAATTACGACTCGACTGAGAAACTACCTTTCGGCGTGTCGTTTTTCTTCGAGCACGGTTTCCTCAGGTTCTTTATGGTCTTCTTCGCTTCGTCCATGGTGAGCTTTTTCTGTACACCAAACCGAGATTCCATGTGATCGATTGATATTTTTTAAAGAATCGTCGACTTACGCAGTCCGCGTCGTTGATCGTCATCAGAACGAGCATCAGCGTCACTAGGACGAAAACGGTGAACCTCTTCATCCTGTGCAGCCTGTTCTTGAAAATCTCTTCTTGTTCGAGACCAGGTTCACCAGTTTCTTCTAACTCGGATCGCGACGACTCGCGAATATGATTGTCCGCAGTGATTCGTACGCGGTCCGTCCAGCCTCTTTTTATAATCGGATCGCGGGCGGTAGGAGAACGAACAATTGTTGCATCTCGCAGGTGACACACGAATCCCGGGCCTATCTGATTACCGCGGCCACGATCAATAATTAATGTGTAACTACCAATTTTCGTTCATGGTACGTCCCGGTTTTGGTCGGTTAATATTATAGGAAAGGGAAGAGCCATAACGTAAGTCCGAAGTCACGTCCGAACGTTACGTAACCACGGTTGGTCGAGTTCGTTCGTTGCTTCTTCTGATTCCGTGATATCCGACACTTAAGAATTTTCTCTCAAAGAAGAAGTCGGACCGGAAAATTCGAACATGCCGATTCTGCAATTCTTGCAGTGATGAATGATATTCGCGATCGGGCAAAACGTGTATATATGTGAAAAATGAATATAATGCGTCAAAATTCCCATGTACAATTTTTATTCTCGATTATTTGTTCAAATGTAACAGGTCCCCCTATTGTATTTTACATCTCGCACTCTGTAAAGATTTGTATTGTAGCATTTCAAGGGAAGAAAAACGTTACTGGATCCGCTTCGTAGTAGCATTTCAAATATTTATACGTCGCTTCGCATGGGTCACCATCGAAATCTACGTACAATCGTTTTAAGAGAATTGTTGAAAATTAATTTTTTATAACACGTGCCTAAAAAAGACCATTTTTGATGTCGTGTAAATCCCATTGAACCATTCAACTTCATTCTCAAAACATTTGACGTAGCTTCAACACTAGAAAGACTGACTGCTTTTGGGCAATATAGGTATAACACAT